TAATATTTTATTTATATAATGTAAGAAAACAACAATATTCTTTTGAATAACTTCTTATATTTGTTTACTTTGTACTTGTCAATAATAAATGTTAATCAATTACAATATTTCCTTTAATATTATTCATTACAATATTTCGATTTTTGAATATATCTTCTTCTTTTTTTCTAATTGCCTGAAACGTCTTGGTCAGTTTGCAAACTGCCTAGGCAGTTGACTAAATGACTAATTGAATTCATTTTAAAACAGTCATTCTGCTAACTGCCAGCGGTTGGCCAACTGCCTAGGCAGTTTGCCTACTGCCGGATTATGCTATCTGCCTACGACATATATATAAATATATATTACTATTCCAGAATTTCAGACAAGACATAAAAATGCTATTTTATTTTAATCACCTATGTTTAGTTTTTTATTATAGAGAAATAAGTATGAAATATTTCATTTTATGTTTACAACATTTAAACATAAAAAAACAATTTCAAATAATATTATTTCTTTAAAGTTTCTCCAAAATGGCAACTTTTTTGTATACAATGAAAACGACTTTCCGCTGCTCTCTGATCCTTCAAATAAACATAAATTAAAACTTAAATACCATCAAAGGCAATTCGAAAATATCAACTTGGTAAATATAATTTAATTTATTTATTATTATTTACTTACTAACTTTAATTCTTTAAATTCCTATTTGTCTTAATTTCTAAATATTTTTTTAATTTTATAAAATAGAAAAAAATTCCCTAATTTCTTTTAATATAAAATTTAATGTCAAATTTTAATACACTATTAAAGTTTTTTGTAATAAACTGGATAACTTCACATAATTGTAACGATTTAATAAGTATTTGCTTCAGTAACATTAAAATATCACAATTTTTAATTCTGAACCGTCAAATCAATTATAATTATTGAAAAGTAAGTAGGTGAGACTAGGTGCGGTTGTTAGGCTGTGCAGTTATTACAAATGAAATATCTCAGAAACTGTTAGTTTTAGAAATTGCAATTCTCAAAATAAAATAATAAAAAATATACATTTTTCAAAAGAAAAATACTTAGTTTTTCTTTAGTAAAAATAATAACGCTTTATTTATTTTTAAATATATTTTAAAAATTACTCTACTATTCTTGAATTAAACTGTCTGATCAAAGAAAAGCACATAACCCATTTAAATTACATGGGTTATATGTAACGTTCCGATACAAAAGGGACCTTACGTATAGAAAAATTAATTTCGAGTAATGTGTTTATTGAGTTGCTCTTTCACATACAAAAGTCAAAAATACTTTTTACTTATAGAATTTTTGTTATTAATATCAAACATGGAACTAAGGTTTTTGATCCAGAAACTCAATTAATAAAAAATTTATAGTGCCCTATAACATTTTTATTACCTAGATAAAATACATATTTCAGAAATATATAATATTCTAACACGTATGCAGTAAAATTAAATAAATTATTATTTAAGACTAATAATTAATAACTGCTATTATTTAAGATTAAAATCCAACATAAATCACATTTCTCTTCTAATTTAAAGTTCATTAAATACATTTCAAAATATTCTTATTTCATTTTTTTCCCTTACTGATTTAAACTATAATCGAACGTAAACACCACCATTTTTTTAATTACACATAATATCAACGTTATAATATTTCTTAAACTGAGAATTTTTTTTTAATTAGAGAAGAAAAACAGAAATGAAAACCAATGGTATAAACTTTTGCGAATTACTAATTATATTGAAAAGCTTTTTTTTCTAAATATGAATCGACAAATATGCGAATTGTCATTGTTGCCAATTGTCAGTCGTTTGAAACGACATTTTTACGAAATGACATTTGTACTAATTACTAATTACTAATAAGTCACTACTGCTAAATACTAATAACTTTAACGAATTGTCATTTTACGAAATATGATTTTTATGAACCGTCATTATTGGAATGTAATGTATTTTACGAGAAAAACGTAGTCCGACCTCAAATTTTTGTTTATTAATTATATGTGGACGTCCGTATGAAAAGGGACCACTTTGGCACTATTGCTCTGTTAAATGTCCCAATCAGCACATAGGCTTGCCACAAACTTGCATTAAACTTGCTGTGTAAGGTGTGCAAGCTTACAGAGCAAGCTCGTGACAAGTTTGTGGCAAGTAACAAAATGTCCTCCTGCTGCAAGCTTGCACTGCAATCTTGCTACAAGATTATGATATAAGCTTGCTGCAAGCTTGTGAGGCAAGTTTTCGACAAGTTTATTTGGCAAACTTGCTACAAGTTTGTAGTGTAACTTTGCAGTAAGCTTATTGCAGGCTAGCTGCACAAGTATATGCAATTTAATTGAATCAATTTTAATTTTTTATGGAGATTTTCTTATAAATTTCAAAATATACACTCAGCAACATATCCAGGTGGCAAAGAAATTTACTGCTCACGCAGCATCGTGTCAAGTTTTTTAATTTATCCGGCAGCTTGCGGCAACTTTGTAGCAAGTTTATCCGGCAAACTTGTAGCAAGTTTGCCAAATAAACTTGTCGAAAATTTGCCTCACAAGCTTGTAGCAAGATTATATCATAATCTTGTAGCAAGATTGCAGTGCAAGCTTGCAGCAATAGGACATTTTGTTACTTGCCACAAACTTGTCACGAGCTTACTCTGTAAGCTTGCACACCTTGCACAGCAAGCTTAATGCAAGTTTTTGGCAAGCTTATGTGCTGATTGGGGTGTTAGTAGAATCTATAACACGTTTTCGATTCCCATATGGGACCCTATATCAAAATCATGTAAAAGCCCACTTTCATAAAGGAAACCATATGAGAAATTGCTACACGATTTTAGGTAATAAAATATGCCTTAAATAAACCCAAAAAGTCAATATTTCTTTAAGAATAAATGCCATATAAAATCTATTTTCATTTTTCAAATAAGTATAATTTTTCCATATCCCTATTGAAAATTTCCACATAGGATTTTACTATTGAGTCGATAAGGCTATATGAAAATTTGTTGGAGGTGGACCTCTGCAGCTCAGTGGAAGAGCAATCAACCGGCAATTGATCGGTCCTGGGTTTCGAGCCCCAGCAGAGTTGGTCTCACATTTTTTCATAGCTTTAAAATTTATTTTTCAATTATTCTAGAATTAAAAAAAAAGAAAAATTTACCGTAGATTCAAATTTTCACAAAAAAATCAAAGTTGATAATGGGTTTTTCAATTTTTGTAAAACTTGGTATAAATGTAGTGTTTTATGGCAGAAGATTTAAAAAAATAATTTCTAGAAATTTGCAAAATTGTGGATTTTACCGGGATTATTATGTTGTTTATATAATTGTTAACAAAATAAAAAATGAAATTAACAATTAATATTGTTAACCTATTGTTAATATTTAACCCCCTTGTAATTATCATTGATTGTCGAGGATAAACACTAAGTAACAAATGAATTATAATATGTAAAGTCTATATGGCATTTAAATTTATAGTTTAGAACAATTATTTGAAATAATAAAATAGCTATTTAAGACGATTCTTTGTCTGAAAATTGTATTCACCAATATTAATATTTTTTGCAAAATTAATACTACTTTATTGTTTTAATCATTTTTATAACTCTTTATGTTTACTACTGTAACCCATAATATTAATAATTATAAAATATACATATTAGCATTACATGTGAAATTTACAGTCGATGATTAAATTACTTTTGTTTCTTAAGTAAACCATGAACAAAAATTTTTAAACTTTATACTTCAAAAATTTTTTCACATTAAAGAAAATAGAAAAACCGTTGTAAAGTTAAAGCTCCATTCTATGTGTTCAAAATATGAACACTTAGTTTCTACATAAAAATTATTATTTAAAGAATTTTATAAATTGCATTTTTATTAGATGTACCAAAAAACACAGAAAGTTTATTATTTTTTTTAATTCCTAATTTTTTAAATAGAAATAATTTTGGCTAAAATGTATGAAATATGTTCAACAAGAGGCCAAAAAATGCGTTTTCAAAAGCACTATAAATTAAAAGAAAAAGAAAAGAAATTAAATATTAATTTATAACTACGAAAACAAAATTTTGACTTTGAAAAGCAAAATTCTGATTTTTAAATTGTTAAAAATTTTAACGAATATTACCGAATATTTTACTATACTTCTAGAAAAAATTTTTTAAAAATATTTGCAAAAACGTTTTTTAAAAACTTTTAAAACATAAAAAAATGTTAAACTTCATGAAGAAGGTAAATAATAATAATTATGTGCCCGATAATGAGATTTATAATTTAAAAAAAAATTTATCCCTTTTTAGCTCATTTAGAACTTAAGATAAGTATTTAGAAGAAAGTAATTTTTACATACACCACACAAGAAATTACTTTTTTTAAAATTTTATTTTTGAGTTCTTGGTCAGAAAATAAAGAAAATTGAGTTTAAAAATTTTTAGTAAAATACTTCCATGAGGTAACAAAATATGTACGTGTTTTTATTGTAAATATATATCAAACAAGAAACAAATTTTTTTTTAATTTATAAAATAACATAAAAATAAATAACATAAATAAAGACAAATAGTCATTACGAATAAACTTATGACCGAAAAAATAAAATCAAAAATTTTTTTTACTTTTTTCGGGGTAAATTTTGGATTCTTTTTCTTTTAATATTGAACTTTAAATTTGTTAAGAAATCAATTATTATTACCAAAAATATAAACAAAATCTAACTAAATGGACAAAAGTTATTCGTTTTTTGAAAATAAATGTACCTTAATGTTTGATGCCCGGTAAAATCCCTAATTTTGAAAATTTTTAAAAATCTTTTTTTCTTAAAATCTTTTATCATAAAAATTCATTTATACCAAGTTTCACAAAAAACAGAAGACCCATGACCAACTTTGATTTTTTTGAGAAAATTTGACCCATAAGCAATACAATCTTTTTTTCATTTATGTGTTTGAATTATTTTATTTAAAGACTAATTTTAGCTTATTATTAAGGGCGATGCTTCAAAAATTCCACTACCTGAAAAAGACAATAAAGAAGGAAACCATCATGACAAAGTCGACAAAATTACCATACCTGCAGGTGTAAGTATAATAAGTCTATACAATCTTTGAATCAATTTCAATCTGATTAATTAAAATTTTATACTTTTTTTCTTAAGAAAAAATACTTTCAAGTTACCAATTATTCAAATAATTAAATATATTTTCAAATTACTCTACTATTCATGAATTAAACTCCAGATCAAAGAAAAGCACATAAAGCATAACAATATATATTGGTTATATGCCCTTCTTTGATTTAGAAGCTGCTCAATTAATAAAAAATTTATATAATGTCCTATTACATTTTTATTAGATAAGTAAATATTCCAAAAACTTAAAAATTAAATTTTTTGCTTTTACTCTTCCTAGGATCCAATGTCTACTGATGGAGTAATCAACAAGCGAAATGCGACTCCTGGTGTAAGTATTTTTTTTAATTTATAGTAAAGTCCATGATATTGAACATTATAAACTTTAAAAATATTTGCATTCTTCTGCTTATATATTTGTATTTTCCCAGAATTTTTCTTTTTCAAATTTGTCGTATCAGCCCAGTAAGAAGTGAGGAAATTATATGAATTCGAAATTTTTAATTCTTTGGAATTTCTGACGACTTGTCCGCTCAGCTGTTTAAACTGTTCTATAACTACTAAATTTTAGAACTATTTATCTCAAAATGTTGCAAACTTCAAAGAAATTTAAAAATTACGAAATATGAAAACGGAATAGACAGGAATTGAACTTAGCGAGTACCACACAGTATTTCAGAATTCACAAAAATTTAAAAAATATTAAAACGAAATTGCTTGGAAATCACTTTCAAGAAATCTTTGTCTCTAAAAGGAATACATACGAATTGAACAGGAACGGAATTAAAAAAGATTGATATAATTTAACTTTTTCTGTAAAAAGTTAAAAAATTTCCCAAAATTATCACTTATCTAATAAAAGAAATTTTAGTGTTAGCAAAGAGTGCACTTTTGTAATTCTTAAAAATGTTAGGTAATTGTGAGCCACCGTTAAATTAAATTAAAAATATTTTTATTATTATTATTGTTATTTTTGTTATTATTATTATTATTATTATTATTATTATTATTATTATTATTATTATTATTATTATTATTATTATTATTATTATTATTATTATTATTATTATTATTATTATTATTATTATTATTATTATTATTATTATTATTATTATCTTTTGATAACGATGAAATATATTTATTAAATGGTTAGTAATATAACAAATGTTATAAATGTTAAATTATTAGATTAAAATTTTTCGATTAAATTAATTAATCGAAATCACAATTTGTACAAATAAAATAGGCTCCATTAATTTCACATTTTAAGTAAACAACTCTGTCGCATGAATAGCAAGGAATAGAATTTTTTTGTTGAATTACTGAGTGATTTTAATAATATGTACCTGTATTGTGCAATTAAATCGCCAAAAACAAACAACAAATACTTCCCCAAATGCTTGTTTTTACAAAAAGCTTTGTATTATTTATTCATTTAAATTTAATGCAACATTTTTTTTAGGAGTCAAAATACCACTCACACAATAATTAAAAAAATATTTTCCATAATTAATTCTTGAAAATCCTTGTAAAAACAATAAAAATATGAATGCCTAAAATAAATATTTGAAGGCAATTTTTCAGATAATTGTTGTTTACGGTTTATAGATAATTGTAAAGCGTTGTGAATTCATGAAATGATGATAAAAATATTTACTTTGGACGAAAAAAAAATTATTTTATATTGGATTATCAAACTTATAAATATTATTAAAATGGCCCACAATTCCCCAATCTCCCTGAATCAAATATTTATTACAAATTTAACATATTAATTTATTTTTATTCTCTTTGCAGCCTTCAATCGTAGGTGGTGAAAATCTAAATCAAATGCAGCACATTAATAGTAAATATTATTTTTAATATCAGACTTCAATATTTAGGAAAAAGACCTCCAAAACTAATAATGAAATATTTTAAAAATTAATATAAATAACATAACAATGTACGAATATAAACTAAAATCAGTAATAACGGACCAATCTACTCTTATCAAGAAAAAGCTTTATGTGAAATTATTATTAAAATAAATACTAATTAGAACCTATGATTAAACTTACAATTTCTAAGTAATCACTTAAAAAAGAGGTGTCTTATTTTGCAGTTTGCTTTTTTATATACTTCATTCAACCATTTTTGAGATCTATTACCACTAATATATGTACGAGAAAACTTAACGTAATTTTTTTTGTTTTTTAACTTGACCTTATTTTTTTCGCAATTTTATGAATTTTTAAAAAAAAAATAGACAAAATAGGGTAAGTGCGTCAATTGCTGCGGATACTTTAAATGCTGCGCGTTCGTTAAAGCAAAATTATATCTAAATGCATGTTATTAAACGCTATAACTTTATAGGCTATTACCCAGTGAGAAATTGCCAATAGACTTTAATCGGTCCAATATCGGTCCAATATTGGTTGCCGTGATGGGCGCCGATTGACTCCCAATATTGGACCAATATGGGCTGATGCTTGGGATGTAACGGCATCGCCAATCATCGGTTGTCAATATTGGTCCAATATTGGCCGAATATTGGCAACCAAGAGAAAAAAATTTTTTTAAATAAATTTTTTTTAATTAAATAATAATAATAAAAAATTAATGTTTATAATTTTTGTTTAATATATTTATTTGTTTAATTATTTATTTTTAATAATTCATGTAAATAATAAATAATTTATTATTTATAAATTATAATAATTTAAAAATGCAGCAGCTATTAGAAAATAGCATTCTGCAAAAAAATTCTATCATTGAAAAATCAATGATAGGCGAGAGAAATCCGCGTCTTTAAATAGATTCGCAGATGATAGACAAGAGATATCCGCGTCATTAAACGGATTCGCAGATATACTCTGGTCTCGCGACGAATCTCTCGATACTTATATACACTGGAGTCGCCGTGTCAGTTGCGAGAACGGTTACAGCGTCCCTCTTGCGGCAGAGATAAGAATTGTCACGTAAACTGCTAAATCGCTTTACCGACCGCCTTATTATACCCGCAGTTTACGTGAAAATTCTTATCTCTGCCGCAAGAGGGACGCTGTAACCGTTCTCGCAACTAACACGGCGACTCCAGTGTATATAAGTATCGAGAGATTCGTCGCGAGACCAAAGTATATCTGCGAATCCGTTTAATGACGCGGATATCTCTTGTCTATCATCTGCGAATCTATTTAAAGACGCGGATTTCTCTCGCCTATCATTGATTTTTCAATGATAGAATTTTTTTGCAGAATGCTATTTTCTAATAGCTGCTGCATTTTTAAATTATTATAATTTATAAATAATAAATTATTTATTATTTACATGAATTATTAAAAATAAATAATTAAACAAATAAATATATTAAACAAAAATTATAAACATTAATTTTTTATTATTATTATTTAATTAAAAAAAATTTATTTAAAAAAATTTTTTTCTCTTGGTTGCCAATATTCGGCCAATATTGGACCAATATTGACAACCGATGATTGGCGATGCCGTTACATCCCAAGCATCAGCCCATATTGGTCCAATATTGGGAGCCTTTATTGGACCGATGATCGGTCTCTTGGCTCCCAATATTGGACCGATATTGGACCGGTGAGAAATTTCTCACTGGGTAATTATTGTAAAAATTTCTTAAGAATACAAAAAATTAATTTAATACATTTTTAATTTAATTCCTTTGCTATAAATATTTTTTTTCTATGAAAAAGATATCTTGGCTGGAATGCCGCAGGAACTAGTGCACTTACCATATTTATTCTTTTCCATTTGTACACTTAACGCATTTTACACTAAAATGAAAAAAAGAGATATCTACTCAATTGTAGACGACAGTGTACAAACAAATATTTAAATTGCTTTCTATTATTTACTATTTACAATTTTCAGAAAGGAATAACAGACCTAGAGCCGGACGCTGGGTTCAGTCTAGACAAAATCGAGGCATAAAAAGAAGACAACGAAACACAGCTAACAATGTTGCTAATTTATTCATTCAGATGGCTAACACAATTTTTGCGCCCAATCAAAGAGGTCGCTCTAGAGGCTACAATAATAGAAGATATAACAATAGAGGCCGCAATAATCGAAATTACTTTAGAGAACATCAAGGAGGGCATAACAACAGAGGAAATAACACTAGAGGACGTTCATTTCAAAATCAGGAAAACAATAATAATTAAAAAACCATAAAAGGCCTCTGAATAGTATTAACAATAATAATTAAAATAACAAAAAATTGTTAATGGACAAATTTTAATATCTTTTATAAAAACTAATAACTGCACATTCAGTTAATGTAATTTCAATTATAATTTTATCAATAAATACACTTTCAATTCATGTAATAAAAAAGCAGTGCGTCTGACTGCGCATCTGTCTACTTTTAGACGAAAAATGTACTCATATTGATAGTTTACTCTTACTATACATGAGAAGGCATAAGTTTTGGTCGAATTCAGACTTTGGCTAATTTTATGAAATCTTTACGTTTTGAGGTGCCCTGAGTCCGAAAAACATAGTCCGGCGAGTGCGTCTGTCTGTGTGTCTGTCTGTCCGCTGTCTGTCTGCCCGTCTGTAGACGGTAATATGTTGTTCCCACGATAACTCTTGAAAAACTTATCGGATCGTTTTTAAATTCAACACACTTAAACTTGGTGTAAAAATGAAGGCTAAGTTCGTTAACCAGCCATTTTCGTTTAAAACTACAAAAACTACGGTAGTTTCAAAATTTTGAAAACTCAATTTTTTTAAATTTCAGAATTTTTAACTTTATTTTATTTTAGATTAGAAAAATACAAGCAACTTCCTAAAATAACACTAAAAATCGAATTTTTTTAAAGGAATAAAAATCAATCAATTGATTTTGACATATTCTCACCCTAAAATACTTGAAAAACATACTTGAACACAAAAAACTCGTAATTTCCAGAAAAATCACTCTCTATATATATTTTTTGTGCACTTTTTTGATAAAAAATCAATATTCCGACTTCATTATCTCCGACGTTCTTGCATATGCGATTTTGCTACCAGAGACTTTTTTTCTCGGCTTTGCATCAGCTACAACTTTGCTGTTGACAACTTTTTGCTAAACCCAAAACTTTTCGAGTTATTTTTTAAAAACTGTCAAAAAACTAAATTTTTTACATTCTCATCACATGAGAAAGTATTAGTTTTGGTCGAATTTTGACTTTTGCTAATTTTATGAAATCTTTACGTTTTGAGGTGCCCTGAGTCCGAAAAACATAGTCCGGCGAGTGCGTCTGTCTGTGTGTCTGTCTTTAGACGGTAATATGTTGTTCCCACGATAACTCTTGAAAAACTTATCAGATGGTTTTTAAATCTAACACACATAAAGTTGGTGTAAAAATGAAGAATAAGTTCGTTAACCAGCCATTTTCGTTGAAAACTACATAAACTATGGTAATTTCAAAATTTTGAAAACTCAATTTTTTCAAATTTCAGAATTTACAACTTTATATTATTTTAGATTAGGAAAATACAAACAACTTTTATCTGTAACATTTTTTCAGCAATGTCTAATTTTGGTAAATCTTAACGTTTCATGACCCCCTGATTCCAAAAAAATCGTTTTTAGAGAAGTGTCTGTCTGTCTGTCTTTGAAAATTTTGTCGTCACGATAACTCTTGAAAAACTTATCTGATCGTTTTTAAATTTAACACACTTAAAGTTGGTGTAAAAATGAAGCTTAAGTTCGTTAACCAGCCATTTTCGTTGAAAACTACTAAAACTACGGTAGTTTCAAGATTTTGAAAACTCAATTTTTTCAAATTTCAGAATTTTTAACTTTATATTATTTTAGATTCGAAAAATACAATCAACTTTTCTCTATAACATTTTTTCATAGAAAATTAATTTTTTTTAAGATTTTGGGTCAGGCCATTCATTTGTCCACTTGAATAAAAATGGCGACCTTTTTTTCCCCTGGGCAAAAAAAACCGCTAGTCCCATGCGTTATTTTTACTCATGGAAAAAAGGCTGCCATTGTCGTACATTTCGAACAAGTGATCATTCAAGTCTCATCTTTAATTTAAGACCAAAAGAGTTTAAAAATCTTATTCGGTTCGTGAGATATCATTATAAACGTCCGAGCATGTTTTTTGACAAATGCAGGAAATTAGTCGATTTTGAACGGTTTTTGGCTGAAAATGCTCTGCCGTTTATAATGATATCTCGCTAACCGATTAAGATTTTTGAACTCTTTTGGTCTTAAATTAAAGATGAGACTTGAATGATCACACTTATGTCAGTTTGAAATTTTTTCTACTATTTTTAAAAAATGTGCAGGGGTTAAAAAAATTTCCAAAAAATTTTTATTTTAAAAATTTTTTTGTCAAATTTGTTGATTGCTGCAATCTTTGTATAAATTATAAAAATTTTCAGTTATATATCATTAATCGTAGAATTTAATAATCTTTCGAATGGTATATTTGTTAATTTTTTTACATTTGTATTTACAAAAAAATCCTGATTTAATGATTGGTATGATGTTTTTGGGCCGTGCGCGTGCAGCCGTACCGATAATTCCCGACGGTAGTGTAGTTCAAAATTCTGTTTGAAATGCTGTGCTATTTTTTATTATTTTGTTCTAATTTGGGTATCCTACCTTTGCTTTGCTTTCTAGTTACCAGAGTAACTTTTCTAAGAGATAAATACGTAATTAAAACAAAAATGTCCGAGTAAATCAACAAAGAGTGAAAAGTTAGCCATTACGTTCCGATCTACACTATACAAAAAACTTGATACTAATACTTTAAAAATATTTTATTTGCTTCTGCAAATCATGTTTCTGCTAAGAGAGTTATTATAATTAAAAATAACTCCACAATTTTATTCATCAAGACCAAAAATATACATTTAAATTCACTTAATATCGCAATCATCAGCAAAGAAAAACATGTGATGAGAATGTTATCCTTAAAGTCGTAGTAACTTTAAGAAAAAAAAATGATTTATGAAACATATAATAGGAAACAAGAACAAGAACACAAATAATGCACAACAATTGCAGACTACCGCGAGCGAAGCGAGCCATTTGCGCGCGAAGCGCGCAACAACACACGGAGCGCGAAGCGCGACGTGTGCAATAATCGCCGGAGCGCGAAGCGCGACGATCAATATTTGCGCGCCCCGAGGCGCGCTGAAACTTGCGAGCGAAGCGAGCCTCCGCGCGAAGCGAGGATGAGAATGTGTCCGCGCTTGCGCGGACAGATTTTTTCGTTTTTTTTTGTACAGAAAATTTAAAAATCTTGATTTTCGACTAAATTCATAAAATTTTTTTATTTTCCATCTAAATTATACACGAAAAACAAGTTTTTAAGAGAATTTGAAAATTTTTCAAAATTTAAAAATTGTCGTTTTTCTCGTTTTTTTTCTATAGGAAATTTAAAAATTTTGATTTTCGTCGATTTCTTCAAATTTTTTGTTTCAGAAAATTTTTGCAATCGTAAATTTCGACTGAATTCGTTATTTATTTTTATTTTCAAGCTGAATTATACTCGAAAAATCAGTTTTTAAACAATTTTAAAAATTTCTGAAAAATAAAAATTGGTCGATTTTTTCGTTTTTTTTTGTACAGAAAATTTAAAAATCTTGATTTTCGACTGAATTCATAAAATTTTCTTATTTTCCATCTAAATTATACACGAAAAACAAGTTTTTAAAAGAATTTGAAAATTTTTCAAAATTTAAAAATTGTCGTTTTTCTCGTTTTTTTTTCTATAGGAAATTTAAAAATTTTGATTTTCGTCGATTTCTTCAAATTTTTTGTTTCAGAAAATTTTTGCAATCGTAAATTTCGACTAAATTCGTTATTTATTTTCATTTTCAAGCTGAATTATACTCGAAAAATTAGTTTTTAAACAATTTTAAAAATTTCTAAAAAATAAAAATTGTTCGATTTTTTCGTTTTTTTTTGTACAGAAAATTTAAAAATCTTGATTTTCGACTGAATTCATAAAATTTTCTTATTTTCCATCTAAATTATACACGAAAAACAAGTTTTTAAGAGAATTTGAAAATTTTTCAAAATTTAAAAATTGTTGTTTTTCTCGTTTTTTTTTTCTATAGGAAATTTAAAAATTTTGATTTTCGTCGATTTCTTCAAATTTTTTGTATCAGAAAATTTTTGCAATTGTAAATTTCGACTGAATTCGTTATTTATTTTCATTTTCAAGCTGAATTATACTCGAAATATCAGTTTTTAAACAATTTTAAAAATTTCTGAAAAATAAAAATTGGTCGATTTTTTCGTTTTTTTTTGTACAGAAAATTTAAAAATCTTGATTTTCGACTGAATTCATAAAATTTTCTTATTTTCCATCTAAATTATACACGAAAAACAAGTTTTTAAGAGAATTTGAAAATTTTTCAAAATTTAAAAATTGTCGTTTTTCTCGTTTTTTTTCTATAGGAAATTTAAAAATTTTGATTTTCGTCGATTTCTTCAAATTTTTTGTTTCAGAAAACTTTTGCAATCGTAAATTTCGACTGAATTCGTTATTTATTTTTATTTTCAAGCTGAATTATACTCGAAAAATCAGTTTTTAAACAATTTTAAAAATTTCTGAAAAATAAAAATTGGTCGATTTTTTCGTTTTTTTTTTGTACAGAAAATTTAAAAATCTTGATTTTCGACTGAATTCATAAAATTTTCTTATTTTCCATCTAAATTATACACGAAAAACAAGTTTTTAAAAGAATTTGAAAATTTTTCAAAATTTAAAAATTGTCGTTTTTCTCGTTTTTTTTTTCTATAGGAAATTTAAAAATTTTGATTTTCGTCGATTTCTTCAAATTTTTTGTTTCAGAAAATTTTTGCAATCGTAAATTTCGACTAAATTCGTTATTTATTTTCATTTTCAAGCTGAATTATACTCGAAAAATTAGTTTTTAAACAATTTTAAAAATTTCTAAAAAATAAAAATTGTTCGATTTTTTCGTTTTTTTTTTGTACAGAAAATTTAAAAATCTTGATTTTCGACTGAATTCATAAAATTTTCTTATTTTCCATCTAAATTATACACGAAAAACAAGTTTTTAAGAGAATTTGAAAATTTTTCAAAATTTAAAAATTGTTGTTTTTCTCGTTTTTTTTTCTATAGGAAATTTAAAAATTTTGATTTTCGTCGATTTCTTCAAATTTTTTGTATCAGAAAAT